TTGGTTATTCTGTCAGATGTTCATTGCTCGTGTGTCTGTGTGATTACTGCTCACCCCGTGATGAGCTCTGCTGTGCTTTCAGTAACAACAAGAGATGTTTGTAGTACGTGTAACTTTATCACCCCTGTGTATAGACATGCAACTGAAGTCCATGCAACTCTCGCTTTCTTTCCAGGTGGTGGAAAAGGATCTTCCCAAATACCTTTAAACCTCTAAGAGATGCCTGAAACCGTGCTTACTTACATCCACTTGATTTTGCGTTTCCAATAGTCTTTTTTCCTCACATTTCTCTGCCTCTCCAAGCACCGGTGGATATAGTTTGAGTCCATCCCAGACCAGTGACGGTCTGTTCATCAACCTGCATCGCAGGCAGGGCAGACCTGATGTGAATGGCGTGCAAACCTGCTGGGAAGGCGACCGAGCTTATATTCATAGAGTTCTATGGAGAGAACGACGGGGAACCGATTAATAGAGCATCATTCAGCACCTTAATGTTGGGCATTGTTTTCATCATAAAATATACTAAGATTTGTTCCTGTTATATTTTTGTGTGTAACATTTATTGTCTGTGATTAAAACAAAAGTGTTGGGGTTTTTATGGGGTTTTGAGGTGTTGGTACTGAGGAACAGATACATCTCGATCATTCATGTGCACAAGGATCTTTTCTTTTGTGTAACAGGAGCAATTAAAAAGGATTTCAGCTGAAAATTTATTCATTTCTGAGTCAGAAACTCTTTAAGCGAGCACTAGAGCTTGAAATTGTTCAACACAGTATTGTTCAGAAAGTGTGGACAGAGCAGTTTACCCTATAGGCTGTCCTAAAAATAACAATGATGATATACACAACAAATAAAGAACTCTAATAAAAATATTGAATCTTTGCAGTAGCCTGGATCATTAATTCCTTATATTGATGTTGCCGCTATTTGTAGGGGAGCAGGGGAAACAAGAACATTATTACACCACACAAAAAATATCATTACTATTTTTCTTTCTGTGTTTTTCTGATATTTTTAAAAATTAGTTCTATATAACCTGATAATATCATTGTGATCTAATTCTGTGTAATAATAAGTGAAAATCTTACATCTTGACACAGTAAAAAATGTCACCCAGATTTTATTTAAAAGACTGTTAACTTATTTATTTCTAAGCTTCTCTGAGACTCTTTATTATTAAGTATTGTCTTCTACTCACTGCAGCAGATAATCTGCTTCTCACCCTATTCCTAGCACCTTCCTCCTTCACTACATCCAATGAATTTTTTCTGTGGTCTTCCTCTTTTCCTCTTTCATTGCAGCTTCATATTCAACATGCTTCATCCGACATATCCATTATCCGTCTTTTGCACATGCCCAAATCATCTCAGCCTTTCCTCTACAACTTTGTCTCTTACAGCTCAACCTGATATATCCTGATGTTTTCATTATTAATCTTATAAATTCATACATTATAAATTTATTACTTCTACTCCTTGCAAAGGTACCCATTTGTCACTCCTACCACTCCTAGATCCACAAAGACACATTACCTTGTGACCTTCTCTCCATCAACACTCTCAAAGCAAATCTCACATCTGTATTGCTTTCACAAATCTTCATGGTATGGCTCATTATCTTTATCCCTGTGTAATTACTAAAACTGTACAAATCAACC